CAAACATAGTTAAGTGATATTGGTACAGTATTTTTTCTTGTACATCACTGTATATTTTCCTGTACATCATCTATCACAAGTGTTGTTACAGGAAAAGCGTTATTAGAATCAGAACTAATGACTTTAATAGATGTTTCAAGATTTTTTAGAAAAAATAATATCTCATTCTTACACTGATTGAAGAAAATAACACAAATTTGAAGCAAACTTCTAAAAATTATGGTTCTCAGTAAAATTACAAAAAGATGATCCATTCATACCTATTATCTCTGGTAAAAGAGAAAAAGAAAAATTAATGAATGGAACAAAGTCTATAATCTGGCATTAGATAAAGGAAATTCTAAGCAAATTTCTGACCAAAATAAAATAAAAATAAATAAACTGTTTGACATAGATGTAAATGTTCAATAAAATTATGCTAAGAAGCAAACTGTGATGGTTGCAACAAGAATCTTCATATTGTTTGCAAATGTCTGGAAATAAAACTCCTGTTATTAAATTTTTAAAGTCATCAAGGAATTAAATAGGTTTTAAAAGTGCTATTATACAAATATGCTAAATATGCTAGAATACAGATAGATTTGGTTGATAAAAGAGAAGTATAAAGACAAAAAAAGAAAAAAAGAAAGTGTCAAAAAAAGCAGAAAAAAGCAAAGAAAGTTAGAATTGAGACTGTATTTTGATGAATAATTTCAACAAAATGAGTTAGAATCAGATAATTTTGACAATGAATATAAAGACAACATTTATATTCCAAATAAACAAACAATCTTTAAGCTAAAAATCTTAAATGCAAATAAATATTTTTATGTAAATTCACCTCCCCATATAAATGTCACTACATCTTTATAGCTTAGAGATATCACAGTTATTTTTTTAAAATTTAAATTAACTTACAAAGCAAAAAAAAATTAATCAACTAAAGAAGCGCAATAAAAAATGTTATTTTTTATTCCATTATCTTAATAAGACAATGTATTAATAGTCTAATAGATCTTGCAAATTGCTATGTTCATTGAAAAATTTTTTTAAGCAAACGTCAAGATACTTGAATAAAGAAATGTGATGGTTGCGAAGGTTGTTTTTCTACCGTTTTTTGCATTGCTTGCAAATTATTAGTTTGATTTTATCTGGAATAAACTCAACAAAAATCCGATTATACAACTGATAAAACTGGAGAATAAAAGAATAAAGTCTGAATAAATATCGAGAAACAAAACCAAAACAAAAACATAATAACAAAAACTCACTAAGTAGAGCGCAGACTAATAACTCTGAGAGAAAGATAAAAACTGCAGTGTAACTTCGAAAAACTATTATCTCAATTTACAAGTATCCAACTATTCCATTTAACTACCTAAGTCTTTTTTGATGATTTCTCACTCTCCTACTTGTTAATAATTGTAGATTGTAAAAACTTTTATATACGATGACATTTTTAATCACAAAGAAGAAGAGAAATGAATGAACATAATAAAATAATTAAGATCATTCGTTTTTACAAAAAATTTTATATATTATAAAGTTTTTTATATATTGTTGTTTTATTAGAATGATTGATTATATTTTAACTTTTTTTTTTTAATATTGTTTTTTATTTATTATTTAAATAATTACTAAATTATTAAATAAAAATTATATATAAAAAAATATAAAAAAAAAACGTTTTTTTTTATTTGCAAGTTGTTTTTCTGTCTTTTTATTGCTAAAAAAGCATTTATTATTACAATTAAAATTTTTAATATATCTGGCACAAAGAATTAACAGTATAAACTTACAGAATAAAAAAAATTTCATCAAGTAATAATTTAATTTTTCAAAATGGCCCATGCAAGACTATATAGGCAGGTGGTCTGCATAGCCTGCAAAGACACATTTAGACGGGTTATTTATAGCTCATGCATTCATTTACTCCTGCCCAAACCTATATATATATATATATATATATATATATATATATATATATATATATATATATATATATATATATATATATATATATATATATATATTTATATCAGGACTTGTTTTAAATAAAAAATGTTAAATGCAATAGCCTAATATGAATTTGACATCATATAGTTCTTTTTTTATTTTTTAAAGACATAAACTTTTATAAATTACTGCAATAACATTAATAATAATGCAAAACAAGTTAAATGTTATTTAACAACTTTTCCATTACTACTTTAAGAGAATGTTTATTTATTTATTTTTTAATATTAAATAATTAAATTTAATATTGCATTTTTTTTAATGTTTGATATTAACAAATTTCCTCAACATTTGCATTAATGATGTGAAATATGTTAAATTTTTTGATTTTTAAAATGATTATTTCATAAATTTCTTATTGCAACTACAAATGATTTTTATTTTAAAAAAATTATCAAGTAACAAATAAAAAAATTACATTAATTTATTTACTTTATTTAATAAAAGTTTATTATTTTGTTAACAATTTTGCTGTTAAAGCAAAGATTATATTTCTAAACATCATTTATTAAAACTATATCGCTGTATTTATTGTTTATTAAAAAAATAATATCTGTGATTTAACTTGTGTTATAAAAAAAAAAATTTAACTTACATTTTGTGCAAATTTTTGATGCAGCCATTTATTTAAAACTCAATTTTGAAAAAAAAAAAAAATGCTAAGGAAAACCGAAAAACAATTGCAATAAAAATGAGCTAAATTTTTTTTTGCTTCAAACTTAAAGTATTAGCATTTTTTAAGCGAAAAAATCAATCATTACAATAAAATAAAAACAAAATAAAAATAAATTTTTAATTTTATTTGAGTTTTTTTCATTAATAAAAAGCTCTAATATGAGATTAGATTAAAATTTATTAGAAAAGTGATACATGTGCTAAAGGACACAAAGGTTCATAAAATATAAAGGACTCTGACAACATGCTCTACATTCACACATATGCTAGGTAGTTTACAAAATACATATTATATATACCACATATTATATATAATACCACAATTATATATAATACAGTGTCACCACAGTTATAAAACAAGAACTAGTTAACCAGAACAGTATTTTTCAAAGTCAATAGACTTAATTTTAATTATCCAAACATAGTTAAGTGATATTGGTACAGTATTTTTTTTTTGTACATCACTGTATATTTTCCTGTACAACTTGCTCTTGATATTTTTGGCATTAACAACATCAGACGGCAAGTTATTCCAAATATTAACAACCGTGAGTGAGAAAGAGTATTTACGGACATCGAGTTTACAATTTAGTTTGCATAATTTGAAATTGTGACCTCGAGTGTAAATGTAGTTGTTAATCTATTTATTTAAATAGATTAACACCTACATTTGAATAATATTTAAATATGAAAATTTATTTAGGTTAGCGATTCTTTTGGTAAAAAATCTTTTCACTCTTTCTACTGCTTTGTTCATTTGTTCTCTTGCTCTTTTTATCATTTTGAGTTTTTTAGTAGAACTAATCTTTTAATTTTATTGCACCCATTTGTTCAGTTGACCCATTTTTTAATTTTATTGCACAGTTAAAAAGGAAATGTTGATAGTGTAGGCTTTTACAATAATCATACAGTGGACTTTTACTTTTAAATGTTGATAGTGTAGGCTTTTACAATAATCATACAAAACTTTTAAAACACTTATGATTAAATATTCTCAAATGTTTGATGCGCGGATAATATTTGAAGTATGATTATTGTAATTTAAGTAAGAATTCATGGTCACACCAAGATCTTTTGGGTTTGTAGACCAGGTTAAATTATGATATCCTAATTGTTAGCTGTAATTTATATCTTTACAAAATGAAGTACATGCTATTATATGAGTGAAACACTTATTGGCTACTTTTTTCTGCCTTTTTCTTGACCAAAGATAAACTTTATAAATGGCAACAGCAAGATCGTGACTGTAATATATATATATATATATATATATATATATATATATATATATATATATATATATATATATATATATATATATATATATATATATATATATATATATATATATATATATATATATATATGTATATATATATACATATATATATATATATATATATATATATATATATATATATATATATATATATATATATATATATATATATATATATGTATACATAAGATTATTTTTTTAGGTTTAAATTATGAATTAGTTAAACTAAAATTTTCCTGTTGCAATAGTTATATTATATTTTAACTTTATTGCATATATATATATATATATATATATATATATATATATATATATATATATATATATATATATATATATATATATATATATATATATATATATACATATATATATATATATATATATATATATATATGCAATAAAGTTAAAATATAATAAAACTATTGCAACAGGAAAATTTTAGTTTAACTAATTCATAATTTAAACCTAAAAAAATAATCTTTTATAAGATTTTTAGAAAGACATGAAAAAATAAATTATTGTAAAAAAAACATGTTTATTAAAAAATATTTTAATAACATTTAATTTACACCAAATGCTTTTATTTTAAACAATCATTATAATTAATTTTTTATTTTATTCAAAGCGTAAAATACAAACTTTATAAAAGATCAACGATTAAAAGTTATTTATATATATATATATATATATATATATATATATATATATATATATATATATATATATATATATATATATATATACATATATATATATATATATCAAGCCTGTAAATATTGTAAATATATAATATCAAAATATATATGTAAAACAAAAAGTTCATAGGCAGCCTTTTTAATTAAATTCAACATATATATATATATATATATATATATATATATATATATATATATATATATATATATATATATATATATATATATATATATATATATATATATATATATATATATATATATATATATATATATATATACTGAAACAATTTAAAATATAAAATGAAACCATTCTTTATATAAGAAAAAAAAAAAAAAAATCAAAAAACAACCTGTATGACAAACTGATTTAATGGAGTATCTTCTCTTAGTTCTACTTTGTATTCTTGATTTTCAAATTCTGGTTTGTTGTCATTTTTATCATCAACATTTATTACAATTGATATTAAACCTTTGTGACATTTATCATTTTTATCTTCGGCTATAACACTTAACTTATAACTAGATATATTTTCTCTGTCAAGACTTTTATTTGTTGTTATTTGTCCATTGTTGTCAATTTGGAAGTCACCACTATTCAAACCATCTTTGATCATATAGTTAAAGCTTATTGAAGGACAAAAAATAATACTTTTATAAAAAAGTTAAAATGAATTTTTTTATTATCATTATTTATAACATTTAATTGACAAGTTACCTTTTTGGATTATTTATTGTTTGTACAACAAAAACTTGCTGTCCGGCATTTTCATTTTCTGATATGTTAACAAAGATTTGATCAGTTGAAAATAATGATTCCCATATACTCAATTCAAACACATTGTAATCTTTTTGACCTAGGACAGCAATGTAAATGATCTACATAAAATAATAAGCATTTTAAAAGAATAACAACTAAATTCAATTATGTTATGCTAAAGAATAGCTCAAAAAACTCAATTTTGAATGACAGTTATGCTTGATGTAAGTGCTATTTTCTAATAAAAAAAACTCAAATAATATTAAAAACTATGAAATTTTAATGTCTATTAAGCTTATTATTTTATCAAACATAAAACAAAATTGTTTATAGTTAACTAGAATTTTTTTATGCAAAATTATTAATTGGAACGTTAAAAAAAAAAAACATAAATGAAATATATTTAATAAAAATTTTTATTTATCACCTTGAGAGCAAAAGAATACTTAAGCAACTTTTGATTGCATTAAAAAAATTCACTTAAATTTCTATAAAGTTATAAATAATCTATAATTAATTTTTTTTTTATTGTTATGATTGATTTTTTCACTTGGAAAATGCTAATACTATAACAATGTAAATGATCTACATAAAATAATAAACATTTTAAAAGAATAACAACTAAACTCAATTAGCATATATGAATAATTAAATAAACTTAAATTAACAAAATTCCTCAACAAATAATCAAAATAAACAAAGTAACAAAATACAAAATAGAAAAAAAAGTAATCACCAACACTTTTTAATACCAAACAATAATTGTTGGTAATGTAATTTTTAATTGTTGATAAATTCGATATTTTTTACAAAAAACATTTTTATTTTTGTAAGTACTAGAAATTTATAATTTAGTGTACAGAATTATTAATATCAAGATAAAAGTATAAAACATCTAGAAGTTTATCAAGCGGTTAACATCAAAGTAATGGGTATCAAGCTCATAACAGACAATAAAAAAATGGATACAACAAATGAGTTTCATTAATCTCAAAAGTTTTTATATTCTATTTATAGTATTGATAAAAATTATTAATTAATTATTAATAAGTAAACAAATAACTTGATTAATCTAATAAATTAAAACATAATAATTAATCTAATGATTTTTTATATATTCAATAATCAAAGTGATTTCTTTATTATTTTCTTTAAAGAAATTTTATGATATCTTGGCAATGTTATACTTGTTTATACATTAACACCACATTTTCGTACCTTGTTAAAAATTTTCTCATAAACTTTCATTTATGGATAAAACTTTAAAAAACAAAACTGATATAAAATTTAAAACTTGAGGAACTTTTTAATCAATGTTTCCTTCATTGTGCATAAAAAAATTCATATATATATATATATATATATATATATATATATATATATATATATATATATATATATATATATATATATATATATATATATATATATATATATATATATATATATAAAATATAACAATAATAATAATAGTAATAATAATGATAATAATATTAATAATAGTAACCATTAATTATAGATTTTCATGACTTTTATGATAAAAAGTTTTATTTGTTTAACATATTGTTAAATTTTAATTTTATAATTTTTAAAATTATAACTAAAAAACTATTTTAGTTATATATTTTTACAAACATTTTTTACTATTATTGTATTTAATTTATTAATTTATTTATTACTTTTTTTGAAACAAAAAAAAAATTTTAAGAAATTTTACATTTTATTTAAAAATAATATATTACCTAACTTTTGAAAATAATAAAATATTTTTTTTTGTTTTAAATCTTTGTTTTTAGGCCGCTCTTTAAAATAATATTTTTGTCCAAGTTTTTTATAAGTTGTCATAAAGTGCGTCAGATTTTACTCAATAGCTTTTGAACTTAAATCACTTTAAATTTCTGCGTGGAAGCTAATATTGTTTTAAAGTTACATTTAGTTTAATTTGAGTGAGTGGATAAAGTACAATAGTAATTTAGTGAGTGGATAAAGTACAATAACAGTAAAATTACCTTTAAACTAAATCAAAACAACCAATTAAATTACCACAGTAACTTACTCAACTATAAAATTTACATAATATACTCAAAGAATCGCAACAAATAACCATACAAATGTTTCTATTTATATCTTATATGTTGGTAAAGCTTATAGCTAAAAATTATTTAATTTTTTTTTAATAATAATATTTAAAAATTATTTAAAATAAAAAAAATTAAAGAGAAATCTTAATTAGAATATAAAAAACGAAATACTATTTTTTATTAAAGCGATATCAAGATCAAACATTTTCTATAAATATGCAAGTTGCCTTTAGAAATTTTATTTTGAAAGAAATCTATTTAAATATTTTGTTTGTTAATTTGTTTTAATTTTGTTTTACATTAACACAAGTACTTTGTAATGTTAAAACAACTTTGCAGTTTGTTTTACTGCTGTTTTTTAGCTTTACAATAACAATTAAATAATCTTTAAAAATAACACCTGCATTCAGCAAAAATGTAATGAATAGTTTTCAATGACTAATTAAAGTGGTTAAATATTGTAATGTTTGCGCTTTTACTCTTAGTTTTTTACGTTTAATTTTTTAAGTATCATGTTAAGTAAAAACAATTACTAAAAGTAATATCTTAATAATATCAAATAAGTTACTTGCTTATTACACTATAACTGCAATATATATATATATATATATATATATATATATATATATATATATATATATATATATATATATATATATATATATATATATATATATACATATATATATATCTATATATATATATATAAGTTTAACTAAATGAAAAAATACAACTTTATGATGGAACTTAAAGTTCCATGCCATTTTGGCAATCGTCAGCTATATATATATTTTTTAATCAAGAAAAACGGGTAGGTTCAATTGGCGGGGTGGGGCGGATCATTTTAACGGTACAAACGGCGGGGCAGATAATTTAAACGTTGCTAATGCAAATCATACTTCATTAAATAAAATAAAAAAAACTTTTTTATTTTTTTTTTATTTGATAAGTATTTTTTATAGATTCAGATATAGTTTAAGTTCATTAAAGAAATAATATTTAAAAGGTATTTGCAAACTATAATTTTAATAAACAACAAAAAATATTTTATAATTTTAAAACCATTTTTACAAAAAACAACGTGATCCGCCAATTTATAATATAAATAAATATAAATTGTGGATAAATGGCGGATCACGTTGTTTTGTGGTTGAATAATCATTAAAACTTAAAAAGTTTAATATAAGCAGTCAAAATATTATACGAATTACTATATAAAGTTTGGCAGATCACTTGATATAAATTGGTGGATCACGTTGTTTTTTTGCAAAAAAATCATTTAAATTTAAAGAGTTTGATATAAGCAATCAAAATATTAAGCTGACCAAATCATAAAGTTTGGCGGATCACATTGTTTCTTGGTAGAACAATTGGTAAAACTTAAAGAGTTTGATATAAGCAATCATAATATTAGGCGGATTACTATATAAAGTTTGGCGGATCACTTGATATAAATTGGCGGATCACGCTGTTTTTATTTTATTTAATGAAGTATGACTTGCATTATAAAATGTTAGCAACGTTTAAATTATCCGCCCTGCCGTTTGTACCGTTAAAATGATCCGCCCCGCTGATCCGCCCTGCCCCGCCGATTGTACCTATCCAAGATATTATTTCACTTTTTTTATTTAATAAGTTTGGATTTCTAGAGAATAGAATTTCATATTTCTCATTTAAGCATAAACTACAAGATTTTTTCGTAGGGTTATAAGCATTGGACTGTTTAATTATTTTCTATTTAACTATAGGATTCAAATTAGCTTCCTTTAATTTCCAAAACTCCTTTGATAACTCAGTGTCATTTTTATTCCTGATAATATTAAATTATTTTATGTGATAAGCGTTTCTAATTTTGAAAGATGTTTCACATATACCAATGTAAAATTTGTTTATAGAATTTTAGGCAGGATCATTAGAGGTTAAATTAGCTTGGTATATGACATTTTTGCTGAAAGGGGGGTTAAACCAAATGATATTGCATTTATTTGGTTTAACCCTCTCTTCAGCAAAATCGCTAGCACAAATATAGGAAAAAAATTTTTAACCCTTATCGATAAACAATAATGAAAGAAAAGATTGCTGCCCCATGCCAAACCCATAGTCAATGTAGTGGCACTCAATTGGGGCAGCAGACAATATATAATATATTAAATTAACTCACTCCTAACAAGGCTGCAAACAATTACTATTAAATTTGGGAGTTACCAGAGAACAAAGAATATTATAAAAAAGAAAGAAAATGATTAAAAAAACTTAAAGGTGGGTTTAAAGGTTCAAATCACCGATGTGCAAGGAAAGGAACTATATGAATAAAAGTTTTCAGAGCATGAAGGGAAATATATACCATGCAAGAGTATATATATATATATATATATATATATATATATATATATATATATATATATATATATATATATATATATATATATATATATATATATATATATATATATATATGTATATATATATATATATGTATATATATATATATATATATATATATATATATATATATATATATATATATATACAGCGCTCGAAATAGTTTTTCAAAACTTGCCCATCAAATGTAATTTTTTGACAAAAACAGCTTATTTTCCCTTGAATTTTTCTAAATTTCCCTAAAAATAGCCGATCATTGATCGTTGATCGGCTGTTATTTCGAGCGCTGTATATATAATACTTATAATGCATAAAAAAAACAACTTACAGTTTCATTAACAGAAGATAGATCTATTGATATTATTCGAGGTGATATGTTGCTTTCACTCTTGTTTACATCTTTTTCTTCTGACAAAGGCCCAGGATTACGTAGCTTTGTTGAAGTGTAAATAAAAGACATTCCTGAGAAAAAAACTTAAACTTAATGTCTTCTTATGATTCTTATGATCAAGGCTCAATGTAAATCAGCTTTTATTATAAAGAATATATAAAAAAAAACAAAAAAAGTATTTTTTTTTTTAATCAATGACTTGAGTTAGATTTTAATTATTATTAAACTTGTGAACTTTTTAAGTAAATTTTTATTAAATAGTGTAATATATTTATATAGCTATATATTTATAACTATTTTGCATAACAGTAAACATTTTTTTTAAAAAACAGTGTTTAACTAAAAAACAAAACAACTTTTAACTAAAATTGTATTACTAAAACAATAAAATTAAAAGACAAAATTTATGATGAAATTTTTTTATTAAAATCCTCTCCATCAAAGGGAGCTATTACAGTAAATGAGGTTTCTCGCTGCATTTACATAATATTGTTCATAATATGTTTCATAATATTGTTCATAAAAGTTTTTTCCTTGCTCACATTCTTATGACTCTATGGCATAAACTTCGATAAGCCAGGCTGAGGCTTCGATAAGCCAGGCTGAGGCTTCGATAAGCCAGGCTGCTGCACAAGTTGAGAATTTACCAGAAGATTATAAAAAACTGATTAATATGAAGAATATTTAAGCACTGGTATAATTCATTACAATTTGTAAATATTTAAATTTAAATACTTTGAATTCAAATAAAGTAAAATATAAAATAACAAAACCCAAGAGAACAACTAGAAAAATAATTTTTTTTTTCTATAATATGATTTTTTATCAAATTTTTAACAGAAATATCAAAAATAAAAAAAATTAAACACAGGAAGCTTATTTTGCAGAGAATTGAAAAAAGACATTAAGTTAAAAAATTGAAAAATGGCTTCAATACTTTTTTAAATGCATTAAAAAATTAATGAAAATAATTGTTTTTTAGAAATTGATGAAAACATTTGTTGTCTTTTAATCTTCAAACGATTTATTTGATTGAAACTGTATAATATATTTTTTGTTGAAAAAAAAATAAAATAATAAACCATAACACATTGTAACACTACTAATCATTAAAAACCAAAGATACCACAACATCAATTAAAAAATATATATATAACATAATATTACAAAGCTTTTCACCATAATTTACTAATGTAAATGACTTGACATCAAACTAAAATTAGGAAGTTTTATTTTCTTTTTTACACCAGAGTCTTAGAGCCTATTTATTATGTTAGAATGTCAGGGCCCTAATTTTTTTTTAACTCAGGGCCTTTTTTTTTTTTCAAAGCGCAATTTTTCAAAAATTGCGCTTTGAATCAGCATATCAGAAATAATATTTCAATATTTATTATAAATCAATTTACAATTATTATTATTCATTGCAGGAAAACACTTTAAACAGCAAACAAAAAAAAAAAAAAAAAAAAACAATGGGGCAATAATTAAAAAAAATTTCTATAAAATCTTTTGAAAACTATAGCTTCAGTTTTTTAAATAACAAAATCTATTATTTAAAAATAACATATTATGGACGCAAAAATAGCATATAAAATGGACACAAACCTGGCTAATGGAGTTAAATGTAAAAAAACGTAAAGTTATGCATGTAAATTCTGGAACAATAAAATTTGATTACATTATGGATAAAATCAAAAATGATGGTACAACCAATAGAGTAGTTTTAGAAGTTACAAATTCTAAACAAGATCTTGGAATTCTAATCTCCGAAAATCTTAAATATGCTCAACAGTGCAATATAGCTGCAAACAAAGCAAATAATATGCTTGGAATTTTTAAACACACTTTTGTATCAAGAGACATTGACATTTGGAAAAAAATTTATACTGCATATATTAGACCACATCTAGAGTTTGCCATACAAGTCTGGAACCCTTACCTTGATAGTGACATGAAAAAAATTGAAAAGGTACAATGCAATGCAACGAAAGTTCCCTATGCTTTGAAAAATAAAGACTACAAAACTCGATGTAAAATCATAAAATTAACTACTCTTGAAGACAGACGGAAAAGAGACAATCTTATTCAAAAATATAAGCTTCTCAACAATTTAAACCTAATTGATTGGCACATAATGCCTGGCAGCATAGCACCTAGAGCTCAACATCAAATCAGATTTCATCGCGAGATTGTCAGGAACTGCGAAATCAGACATAAGTTTTTTAACAACCATGTAGTCAATGACTGGAATGCTTTGCCAGATAATGTCATCGAGGTACGATCACTTGATAAATTTAAACAACTACTAGACAGTTTTCAGTCATCATAGTTGCTACAACTCATCATTTACCGTAAATGCCACACTAAAGTGGCCAAAATAAAAGTTGGGTATAGATGCATATACTCAGCTGATGATGAGTTTAACAAGGCTGTGGGTTTGTGTAACTTAAATTAACTAACTAACTAACTATTATTGAAGTATTGTATTCAAAAATGACATTGAAAAATCAACAGTGCTTTCATTTACCAAATATTTGTGTGTTTATTTACTAAATTTAGAAAAGTAAGCAAAATTTCAGAATTTAACCATAAAATTAAGTTTTAATACCAATGAGCCACTCTTTGTCTGAATAACATTCAGACAAAGAATGGCTCATTGGTATTAAAATTTAATTTGTTAAGACATCAATCAGCATATGTGGTAGTGGTGTAGTGGTAGAGCATTCACCTCATAAGCGCAGCAGTTATGGTTCACGTTTCGTAATTATAAGGTAACTAGCAGTAAGCAACCCGTAATACAACAACCGTAATACAAAGTTTCGTAATTACTAACAACCCGTTGTTAGTAAATAAAATTAAAAAAAAAACGCGTATAGAAAAGCCTAGAAACTACTTTAAAATAGAAAAGCCTAGAAACTACTTTAAAATAGAAAAGCCTAGAAAATGACGTAACTTGACTAACAATAATATTAAATTAGCATATTCAAATTATCAGAAGAGAGAGCTGTAATCACAACTAAAGATGGCCTCCTAGACTTTAATTCTCTTCATGGTCTTGAAAATTGAAATTAAAAGAAAAAAAAAAAACTCCATCAAAGCTTTCCATTTCTCTAAAATTTTTATCTATGGCTGCTTTTAGATCTATTTTTAGATCTATTTTAGACCTATTTGTCTTCTGTAAGATCTCCAATTTTGAGGTCAAAAGATTGAGCAGACCATAAGACAATATTCTTTTTTTTGCCTTAGTTATTCACCTCTCCAAGTCCACTACAGTTGAGTAGGCTGCTTTATTATTGTTACAACCCTCTCTTGTTTCTTTTGGTGCATGTAGAATCAAGCTGAACACAGTACTACCAGGGATGTAGTGAGGATCAAACTTGGAACAAAACGAGAGCTACACCACCTACCTTACACCACTTACACCACTTCCGCATTGTTTTGAATGTTTTTTGCAATAACAAATTGTTTGTGCCATTTATCAAAAAATTGTTCATGCCGTTTATTTTTCTACTTATTGGAAATATGATCAAATTTTAATCTCTACAAATCATTTAAATATCTACAATTTATCTAAAATTTCTTTGAATTATCTAAAATGTCTACAAATTATCTAAATTATCTACAAATTATCTAAATTATTTACAAATTATCTAAAATTTATTTGTAAATAACAAATACATATTTTATCAAAGTAAAATATAAAAATAGAACTCTGTATAAAGTAATGATAATAAAACAATTGCTGTTAATATTAAATAAAGTAAACTAATTATTTATGTTACTGTTTAGATGTTTATAAAATATATTACTGTTTATATTTGTAATAAGGAAGAAAAAAAGTTTAAATAAAAAATTTTAGTCTTGCACATAAATCAAAATATTATGTGATTTCACTTAAGGGCCATCAAGTTCTAATGAACTAATTTTTCATTTATATTCTGCTGAATACTTGTTCACTTTCAGAATGTAATCATTTGGAGGATTTTAAATTTCTAAAATTTAAAAAAAAGTTCCACAAATTTTCAACTATAAAAAAGGACTCTTTTTTCAGGTCAGAATAAATTTAGATTTTTGATTTATATTCATGAAATAAGTTTAAAGCTACTAATAACAATAATAACAATAATAAAAAATACAATAATAACAATAAACATAGTAATAGCTTAGCATAATTCTTGAACATTTTATAAACATAAAACAAAAAATATTAAAAAAAACAAACTATATTTTCATTTTTGACATGTTTTGTAATATAATTGTTATCATAAAATGATTGGTTAATTACTAAGTTGTTTTGTAATCATTTTTATTAACTTATTAAATATATTTTTTTTAAGTATATTTCTCTGCAGCCTTTTATTTTTTGATATTTATTCCAGAGTTTCATTGTAAAATTATTCTTTTGAAAATGTAAAAATTATAATACAAAACATGTTAAGAATTAAAAAAAGCATGTTTTTTTTTTTTTTTTTAAATTTACTTAATATAATTATAATATATACATTATTACTTTAAATAATTTATAACTATTATCTTTATTATTTAACAACTTTATCCTCGCCTACATTATTTATATTTAGGCTCAACTAAAGCAAATAAATCTTTAAATAGTGTTAGGAATAAATATAATATAAAGAAAAGATATAATATAAATAAAAGTAAAAATAAATAATAGAATAAATACATAGTAGACATAAATAGAATAGAATAGATACATAGTAGACATAAATACATAAATCCATTCTATTGAACAACTGAATTAAAATTAAAAACAATGATTATAATTGTAAATAATTACTTTTTTATTCAAATTCAACTAATACAAAATTTAACTTATTATACATTTAATTATGTAACAATTTCATCCTATATGCATTATATATAGCTTTAAAAAATAAATTACCTTGCTTATCAACTAACTCAAAAGAGACACGCTTGTAACTTCCTTGTTTAATTCCTTTGAAGTTGGATTGAAAATATTTAAAAGATCCACCATCAACAGCTGTTTTTATACTATCACATTGACTCAGCTGAGCCCCTTCTAAAAAATTAGAGTAAAAAAGAATAAAAATGCATTAGTATAAATCAAAGATATATACATATATATGTATGTAATTTGTGTTATGTTAAATATAAAAAAAAGGTTAATATTCTTTGAAGAACAAAGTGCTTATTTTAATTAATTAACTTATTTTAATTAATTAGTAAAAAAAAAAAAAATTGGATGATTCTAAAGGTGCCGCAAAGAGCAAAGATTGGCATTAGAAGTAAAAGGATGAGACTAAATTGTCATTGTCATCAAATCATTGTCATCAAATTATTGTCATCAAATAATTGTCATCAAATCATTGTCATCAAACCATTGTCATCAAATCATTGTCATCAAATCATTGTCATCAAACCAATTGTCATCTTGCATTTATCAAATTTCTTACATTACACTTACATTACATTTCTGTTAATGTAATTAATAATGTAATTATTAATTATGTCATGTAATTAATTGACATTTAGACAGTAATAATTGACTTTAGAAAAAAAACATTAGAACTTTTAAAACCTTAAAAATTTATTTTTATTATTTTTGCAAGCTTATTTAATAAAAATCCACCCTTTTACTTGTTTTGCATACACATATGAAGAAATCTATGTTTTGCATGCCAATTTATAACCCTGTTTTTATTACTTCTTCTTTTATTTGCAAAACATCATTAGCTCTGTCATTTCACCACTGATATTACATTACGACCATCACTATCAACACATTTACGTTACCTTTTTAATTGTACCAATGCCTATTCAACTGCACTTCAACTGCATCACCACCACATTAACTATATCCTCTTCCACTGTTAGACTATCTAAACCGTTTTACCACAATATATAAATTATTTATTATAAATAGTTAAACTATAAATTATGAACTATACATTACAATAAATTAAAATTATGAATTCAATTATTTTAGCTATAAACATAGTAAATTAATGATAAAACAATTTACCATCACAGGAAACAGCAGTAATTTGACTGAGGAAGCCAGAAAGATCTAGATAACTGTCAATTAAAATGTAATGCTGATTTTCTGGTGGACTGGCAATAGCTAGTATTTCAGGCATATATACACTAAAAATAAAATAAAAGTAGTTTTAATATGTTAGTTCAATCATTATTTATTATAAATGACTTTACATACATTTTTAAATTTATTTATATATGCATAAATATTTGCATAAATATTTACATAAATAATATACATACATATTGTATAATAGATTTTTTTAACTAAAATTAAAAAAAAAAAAATTTTAACTAAAAAAGTTAAAAAAAAAGGAATTTTAATTTAAAAAAAAAAAATTTAAAGTCTTTTTTTTGCATAAAATTTTGATTTAAAAAGCTGCGGAAACTAAAGTGTGAAAGTATATCTCCTTGATAAAAGATCTCCTTGATAAAACATTTCTTTAATAAAATATCTCTCTGATAATTAAATATTGAAGATAAAGGAATATGAAGATGAGGGAACCATAAACAGAAATCAAACAGGACAGTAACAAAAGTATTTTATTATTTAGTAAGTAATTTTCTATGTGTATCTATGTGTATTATTCTAATGCCTGTATAAAGTCCTCAAAAATGATTTCAGTTTGACACAATAATGCTATTCTTGACCAACTGAAAATTAAAAAACTTTGCTTCGCATTGCAAAACTTGAACTTGTTCAATGGCACAGGATTGCAAAACATTACCCAGGCAACTGAAATTCATGGAATGAATCTGTTACATCATTCAACAAGAATGTTATGTTTAATAAATGAAAAAAAAAAACAATTAAAAACCTTCTAAAATTTTTAGCTTAGCAACAAGCCTATTATCATAACAAATATTATCAAAAATAAAGTTTTTTTGTTTGCTATTTCATGTCTTTTTTCATGTTTTTTTTTGCTACTTCCATCACTTATATATAATATTGTTAAGGTCTATTTTGTATTATTATTGATTGCGAACAACTTTAATGTTAATAATGAAAGTCAAACAGCTTTTAAAATGATCATAAAAACCTATTTTATAAGCCAAAACAAAATGTTCAATTACTATTAAATTGACATATTTAAAGCACAGAACAATTGTTGTAATTAAATGAAAATATAAAACAGCATTTAACTAAACCATATGTAATATGTTAAATGTATGCAGTACATCTTTCTTTTCTATGCATCTTGATCATTTGTATTTGTTAAACTAACAAAAAAATTTTAAATCAAATTTTTTCAAAGAATTTTGTTATACTATTTCTCATAATTTTTAATAAAAATTCTAAATTTTATAAAATTTAGTCAAAATTGCTTTTGACTAAATTTTATAAAAAATTTTAATTAAAAAAAAAAAAATTATTTATAAAATATAGCTAATTATGAGAAAGCTATTGAAAAAAAATTAAATCTTGGTTTATTTCAAATTCGAAAACATGTTGTTTAAATATAAATAAAAAATTACAAAATTCAAAAATAGTCATAAAAAGAAGAAAACTTATATATGTTCAATATGTTAAAGAAGACATTCTATATTCAGCCAATTGTTATCGCAATAATTTAGACCTTCCTATATTTATGAACGTTAATGTACTCGATGAGTCTCTTACCCTTCATCTTTTAGGATTAACTCTTACTTCTGATCTTTCTTGGAAACCTTATATCAAATCCGTTGCAAAATTAGCATCTGCTAAAGTCGCTTCTCTTTATCGAGCTCGTCACTTTCTTACTCTGGAATCTATTCTCTATCTCTCAAATAAATCTCAAATTTGGCCTTGTATGGAATACTGTTGCCATATCTAGGGTGGATCTTCTAATGATGCTTTTTCTCTTTTAGACAAGGTGCAAAAACGCGTTGTAAACATAGTTGGACCTGCTCTTGCAGCCAACCTTCAACCTCTGTCACATCGTCGTAATCTTACTCTTTTCTACAAATACTATAATGGGCGCTGCTCTAAAGAGCTAGCATCTCTTGTGCCATCTACTAAAATTCATTCTCGTGTTACTCATCATTCAATTAAGTTTCATCCTTTTTCTGTTACTGTTCCTAAGTGCTCCAAAAATTCTTATTTATCTAGTTTTTTTCCTCGAACATTAGTTCTTTGGAATTCGTTTCCTTCATCTTGCTTACCTGATTCATATAATTTGCAATCTTTTAAGCCATCTGTCAATCGTTATCTTGATCTACAATCTTCATCTTTTCTCTTCCAGTAACTTCAAACACTAATTAGTGGTTGCTTGCAGCCTTGTTGGAAGCAATGATGTTGAAAAAAAAAAAATATGTTCAATATGTTATAGAAGACTTTTTATATATTCAAGTACAAACTAAGCAACAGTTTATTTAAACAAAGAAACAAATCATTTAAGCCTTAAAAAACTTCAGCAGAGGTAAAAATAGTGAAATATTTGTACTTAAAGTACAATAAAGAATTTAAAGAGAAATATTTGTCCTCAAAAAAAAAAAAAAGAAAGAAAAAAAAATTGTTACTTTAATTATTGCTGTCTCATAGTTAAAAAACAAAAAGAAAAAGAGAGAGAGAAAGATCAGGGACAACAGATCTATTCGAGTCCATTAGAAAAACTAATCACATCGAATATTTAACTTTTTTGAATTGTTGAAATACGATTCAATGAACAAATTAGAACTTTTCAAATTATAAATTAACCTGGAAAACATATTTTAACCAGGGTTGGCATTAAAAAACCCGCCCAAAAAAACCCGCCCAATAAAACCCAAAAAAACCCGCTTAAAAAAACCCAATAAAACCCTGGAAAATCTGGGTTTTATTGGGTTTTTTTAAAGATATTTAATAAGTTTATGAACTATTATAACCAACTTTAACATTATAACTATAATATTATTTACTAAAATAATTATTAACTATTTTTATTAACTTAATTATTATTAACTATTATTATTAACTATTATAACCAACAATAACAGCTATCAGAGCAGGTTTACTATTATTTGAATCATTATTTGGAAATACATTATTACAATTTTTATTCAAATATTTTTATCGATTGAGATTTTTATTACATAATGTTGTTCACCTCCCAATTCCAAGTTGAATTCAAATGAGTAGTAGTGACCAGAGAAGCCAACACAACAGTCGAGGAGGCTACCTTGTTGTGGTTACAACCCTCTCTCAACTTTTGCGGTAGTGGTGTTGTGGTAGAGCGCTCAATTCATAAGTGAGAGGTTCCGAGTTTGATCCCCACCACGTCCCTGGCAGTACCGCGCTCAACTCCTTTCTCCGCGCAGCGGCCTTGTTCGTCAAGGTTCATGTTTCGGAGTTATAGAGTTGAGAGAGGGTTATAACCACAAATAAGTAGCCTCCTCGCCTGTAGTGACCATAAGCTTTGAGGAGGTGAATTGATTTAAAGAAGAAAAAAAACTCTTTAACTCCTAAACACGAATCTTTATAAACAAGGCCGCTGCGCAGAGGAACAAGTTTGTTCATTTGAATTTCAAGTTCAAAGTTTAATTGAAACTTCAGTTACTACCTCCCATTCTCAAGCCTTCTTTTTCACATTTTCTCATTGACATTTTTAATTATATAAAATAATACTTTTAAATTTAAAATAAATCAATACATATAGATTAAGCGTGAAATTTTTTTTTCCTATTACAGTTTTAAATTATATTTAAAAATCTTTTTCAAAATAATTTGAAAAATTCTTGTTATAAATAATTAAACAACAATATATTAAATATATTTTAAATAAAGTTAAAGTAGAAAAAAACTAATTTTCAATATCAATAAACAAAAACACAAAAATTTTTTTTACAGAGACAAAATAAAAATTATACCCAAAAAAACCCAAATTTACCCAATAAAACCCAATAAAACCCACTGGGCCGGGTTTTTTTAAAAAAACCCGGGTTTTTGCCAACCCTGATTTTAACCAGCACAAATTTCCTAGCATGTATAATAATTTTACATGAGATATTATAGTATTATGTTTTATGCGATATTATAGTAATTTTACATGTGGTGTTATAGTAAAGCACTTGCTTCCTAATATACTAGCTTCAAGTTTAAACCTCTGCCCATGAAAATATGCCTCTATATATTCCTCTAAAAAGAACCACACTTAATTTGTTTTTCTGCGTAGCAGCCATGTTTGTCAAGATTTTCACAGTTAAAGGCTGAGAAGAGTATAACAACAACTGTGGAAAACAAGTAGCTTCCTCAACCTGATGTAGTGAGCCCCTAGGCCATGCATGGTTTAAGTCATCCATGTCCATGGGTAGGTCATTTTTTTTTTTTTTTTATGAATTTTTCTTATACAATTTAATATTTTTATTTCTTTATCTGAAAAAATTAATCTTATCAACCAACATAAAAAGAAACTAATCAAAATTTGAAATCACATTTAAAATCAAACTTTATAATTAGAACATCAACAACCATAAAATGTTGATAGCAAACCAGCAAACCACAACTATTGACATATTTCATATACCAACTTGTGGCTTGTCATTAATGTATGAAGTTATGAAAAAGTTTCTAAAAATTTAGATTTTTTGTTGATGACAAAAACTTCATATTAGGCAGTTCACTTTTGACTGGTAATGGTGTATTTCTTGTATTGCTAAAATAAACAAACTCTGACACTCAATAGTTTCAAGCTTTACGACAAAGCAAATTATAAACCAAAAGCTTTTGATCGTTTTGCTATTTTAGCTTTGCATTCATTCAGAAACTTCACAACAATGGTAAATATGCATATTGATCTGAATTAGACTTGCCAGTTACAGATTAACAACAAGCATAAACATTTTAAATGTTACCGAAAGACATGAATCGAGCAACCATACTAAAAGTTTGTAATAGATGATCTACTATACGCAATTGTTATTAAACTTACACTTTTATCATTAAAAATTTTAGAATTTATATAAGTTTGCAAAATGAAATTACAACCATTTATTAAGCAACCCTATTACCTCAACGTATAGAAAATCAGATGAAAAAAATATATATATATTAGTGATGTACCAATATTACTATTTAGGGCAATGACAATACCGATGGATGAGAAAAGGCCAATACCAATACCAATATTAATTAAGATGAATTTACTAATTATTAAAAATTGAAAAATATAAAACCATACAACTTTAAATCAGTACTGGTAAACAAATACTTGGACCCAAATCAAAGCCAAACAATTATTTTACAAGATATTAGAAAAACTCAGTTCAAAAAATATACATTTTAATTTTTTTTTTTATTATGAAAAAAAAACTTTCAAAAAAAATAAATACAATTTTAGAGCTTTTTATTTTAATTTTAAAAAAAGAAAATAATCATATGCAGTTTACTTAGAATTCTTTATTAATTTATTAGTAATTTAGATATCTAAATAACAATCATATGTTGTTTAGACATACAAATTATTTATATATAAATAAATTTTTTTTAGAATTATTTTGTTTTGTGATGTTTGATCCCCACCACACCCCTAGTAGCACAGCAATTAACTTGTTTCTACACGCAGCTGCATTGTTCATCAAGGTTTGTGTTTCTGAGTTATAAAGTTGAGAGTGGGTTGTAACCATAACTAAAGAAGGCTCCTCAATTGAAGTGGCCTTTGTGGTCTTAGGGAGGTGAATTGAAATAAAAAAAATTAAAAATATAGAAATATACTTGGTACTTGGCTATACTTAAATACATAAAATAAGGCTGAACTATATGCAAAGAAATTCTCTTCTAATCTGACTCTCGAATCTTATGGCCATTTTCTTCCTTCCATCCTAATTAAACAGGTTAACCCATTGTTAGACATTCAAATCATTTCAGCTTCCATTGCTTATAGTCATATCTTGATTAAACTCTTCTATGGCTTGTGGTCCAGACAATATTCCTGTCACAGTCTTACAAAATTGTTCTCCAGACCTCTCTTCAATTTTCTCTAAACTATTTAATAAGGACTTGACTGAATCTTGTTTTCTTGCTTGCTGGAAAATGGCATCTGTTGTTCTAATTTTTAAAAACTCTGGTAAACTTACTGACCCCTCCGATTATTATCCAATCAGTCTTCTTTCTGTTATTAGCAAGGTCTTTGAGTCTTAGATAAACAAATTTCTCACATTCCATCTTGAGTCAAATAACTTGTTGTCAGACAAATAACTGTTGTAGTACTGTCAACATTCCTATATTGATGAATGACAACCCTCTCACTGATTCCACTTCTTTACGTCTTCTTGGATTATCATTTACTACTGACTTTTTATGGAAACCATATATACAATCAATTGCTAAATTAGCATCTGCTAAGGTTGCATCTTTTTATCGTGCTCACCATTTTCTCTCTCCTGATTCCATTCCCTACCTCTACAAACCTATTACTCATCCCTGTATGGAATACTGTTATCATATTTGGGCTGGTTCTTCTAATGATGCTCTTTCTCCTCAAGATAAGGTTTAAAAACGCATTGTAAACAGATTTGGACCCGGTTTATCTGCTAAGCTTGAGCCTCTTTCCCATCATCCTAAAGTTGCATCTCTTTCTATTTTCTACAAATACTATCATCGTTGCTGCTCAAAGGAGCTTTTATCTTTCCATCAACTCATTCTCACTTGACTTGTAATTCATCAAAGTCTCATTCTTTGACTGTATCTGTTTCTTCATGCTTCAAAAACTTTTATTTGTCTAGCTTATTTCTATGCACTTCAACCCTTTGGAACTCTGTCCCATCTTCATGTTTTTCTGACTCATACAACCTTCAACTTTTTAAGTCTTTTGTCAACCGCTTTATTGCTCTAGAACTTTTTTTCTAGTAACTTCCAACTTGATAGTGGTTGCTTGAAGCCTTATTGGGAGTAAAAAAGAATTAAAAAAATATAGATAATAATGCTTAAATAGGTTACTTTTAAAGCTTTTGCCTTTAAACAAAGTCAAAATAAAAATTTATCCAAAAAATTCCAAGTAATGCACAAAGTTTAGTTTATTTATTATTTAATTATTATAATAATGCAGGATAAAAATATTAAAATGTCATCTATTGGAAAATTGGTAAAAAAGGCCGATGCCAATACCAGCTCCAATTGTGCAAAAAGTGCCCGATTATGCTGATGCCGATGCTAATTAATTGTTACATCACTAATATATATGAATTTAACACAATATTAAAGTCAGGTTTTAAACTTTTCTACCACTCTAATTTAAATTTATTGCATACTAAGAACCATCAACTTTATTTGGTTCAACAAGCAAAATTGTTAGCTTTTATTAATAAACACCTTTATATTAACCATAATTGCATAACATTTTTACCCCAACACTATAAAATATTTTTTAACAATACTATAAAAAAACAAGAATTTAAAACTTGTCAGAACTTAAAAAAAACATAATAAATAAGATTTTTGTTATGTACATAAAATATGCAGAATACAAAAATCAAAAATAATTTTATCACAAGACTCCATATCTTCAATTGGTCGAGTCTAGAATCGGTACCTTGTACCAGCTTTTGTGCTTTATTTAGGTCAAGTCTACTGGCGCAATAACCATCTTTGTACACATCCTGTTTAAGCATTGCCTAAAAATCCTCTATAGCACGAGCTTCTTGCAAGTTTTCTGGATTGTTCTTGTTTTGAACAAATGATAACTTCTGGGTTTTCATCCAATTTCTTAACGCATTAGCACAGTGAAATTTTGCCAAATCAGGCTAATTGATGTACTTGGTGTTTCAATAATATTATTCAATAATATTATTCAATAATATATAAATAAAAGGTTTAAAAGAAAGTTTTCTTCAAATTTTGTGATGCCATAATACTTATCAATATTGTAACTAATCCTTTATATGCTATGTAACTGAATTCAAATATTAGATTTATACCAATGTAACAAATATTTTATTGTAATTCTTTCATATTTCTTTAATATGATTTACCTATTTAGTTTTTTTCTAGTAATTAATATTAAAACCCTCAGTTACATGTTGACACTCAGTTACATGTTGGCCCTCAGTTACATATTAACCTTCAGTTACATATTGATCAAAGTATTTGAATATATTTTAGTACTTTACTAAAATACATTATTATTGAACACAGATAAGAATCTACTAATATATATTTAAATATATATATAACACCTGTTCCATAAAGTTTAAGACTAGCTTTAATTAGCAATAATAAACTAGTAAGTTTGATAAAATAATTTGGTATCAAATTAAAGCTCTATATTTCCTCTGTCTAGTATAGAAATTGTCTTATTATTTTTTGTTTAGATAGTAATTTAGAATGCCAAATTAAAAAGTCTTAAATAGTCCTGTGCACAACTTTTAACGAAAAAAGCATTAAGATGGAAAACATATTGTTTGGAACAAAATGAAAGTTACTCAAAAGCTACAATTTATAGATTTTTATAGAACAGTTAAGGTCAGAATAAACCATTGGGTCAGAAAGTTGAAAATGGAAGAAGCCAGGGAGAGGTTTTTCACTTTTAAAGGCTGCTTGAAGGCTTAATTGTTGCAAAAACACAATGGGATAATTCCTAAAGTGCTTTAAAAAGCCTATTCTTTGTTATATAAAAAAAAGAACCCAGGCAGAACTCCTAAACAGAGACTTTGAGGTCATTGAAAATGTGGTTGACTCTAATTAAAATAGTGTAACTGAATTTATTATTGACGATAAGTCTTACTTTGTTAAACAGCACATGGCTGGTAATAATACATACTTTTCAAATGATAAGTATTTGACACCAGATATGTTACTTTAGTTATATGTTACTTTATCTTTTATCTTAATTTATAATCTTATAATCTTTTAGTTATCTTAATTAAGTTAGTTAATCTTATTAAGTCAAAAGATTTTGACTTACTTTGCATACTTAATTGCATACTTTATATTAAAAATGAAAGATTGTACCTAGCAGATACTCCAATAACAAACATGCTAATACCAGCTTCCTTAACACGCTTTGCGGCATAATAGACATCAATTTCACCATTTGAGTAACCATCAGTCAATAAAATTCCAATCTAAAAATAAAATTTTTAAATTAATTATTAAATTTTAGTTTAAGAAAGACTTTTAATTTCTAAAATTAAAAACTTCAAATTTTCAAGATTTTCAATTTATCATAACGAGACAAACTTTAAAAAAATTTAATTTGTCATATCAAAACAAACATTTAATTTGTCATATTGTGACAAACTTTAAAGATATTTAACATGTGATATCAAGACAAAGCTTCAAGATATTTAACTTGTCATATCAAAATAAACTTTCAAGACATTTAATTTGTCATAACAAGATAATCTTTCAAGATATTTAATTTGTCATATCAAAACAATCTAAGATATTTAATTGTCATATCAAGACAAACTTTCAAGACATTTAATTTGTCCTATCAAATCAACCTTTAAGTCGTTTAGTTAATTATACTAGTAGTGATATCACACCTGTCTGTAAAGTGCGACATATTTTTTTTTTTAACTCTACGGATTTTTGCCCCCACCCTCTACTATGTCATGAAAAAAAAAAAATAATCAAATCTAATTTGTCAGCAATGTCAGTAAAAACAATTAATCATATAATGAGGTCGAAAATATCAGTAAAAAAAAAAAGATAAATCTTAAAAAAATTTGGCTTTACCATTTTTCAAATTACTCAAAAAATGAATTAAAAGTCTCAAAATTTATTAGAAGTGTGAGTCAGAAAAGCTCTGGTTGTTCCTAAAAGTTAATTTTTTGAAACTAGACGTGTTGTTACCAAGGTTACCTGAAAAAATAAGTTAAGTCAGTGATAAACATTTGAGAAATTTTTTAAGAATAATGGGAAACAACAATAACAATGAAAAGATAATACTCAAGTGAATGAAATACTTCTAAAATAGTAACTTATATACAATCTCAAGTCAAAAAACATTTAATTATGCACTTAAGAAGTTCCCAAATTATCTTCAAAACACTTACAATCCCCTTTTTTAAACAATTTTATTTCTAACAAAGCTGCAAGTAATCACTATTCTTAGGTCAAGTCAGAATAATTTAGGACAACTAAGATCAGGTTAGATCAGAATAACCATGATTACACTGCTAGTAGTAACATGCAACTCAGTACAACATGACCTGTTTGACCTGCTTGCATGATCAACATGACCTGGTACATTGTAAGGTTTAATTATGCACTTAAGAAGTTCCTAAATTATCTTCAAAACACTTACAATCCCCTTTTTAAACAATTTTATTTCTAACAAGGCTGCAAGTAATCACTATTCTTAGGTCAAGTCAGAATAATTTAGGACAACTGAGATCAGGTTAGATCAGAATAACCATGATTACACTGCTAGTAGTAACATGCAGCTCAGTACAACATAACCTGTTTGACTTGCTTGCATGATCAACATGACCTTGTACATTTGGTAAGGTTTTTTCAAGCAAATACTATGAGAAGGTAAATTTTTTTATGAGAAGGTAAACTTTTTTAAAATACTTCTTAAAAAAACACCTTGAAGCTCATGGTTGAGTAAAGGCTAGAGGCTAGGTGTTCCAATAAAAAAAAACTTAGGTGATGTCAACTGCATCCAAACACTGTATTTTCTTAAAAAGCTTGTACTTTATCTTACTCTAATAAGCTGTCATAGATATAAAAATATGTAACATTGTTATATGCCTAGGACGATGGTGGATCTTCTTGACTCTTTTTTTTTTGTCTCCTTGTAAATGACTATGCAACTGTTTCTGCTAATGAAAGTTTTTGTAGCTTTAATTATTTAAAAACTTTGGCATATAAAATTCGCCGAATGGTCACACACGAGCAGTGAACACTCGAGGGAAGAAATGAAGTACATTAGAATAAAGAAGAATTATTTATCGAACGAAGCATATTTTGACAGTTGTCAAGACAAAAATAAAGATTAATAGAGGAAAATTTCAAAACAAATAAGGCAGACAACGTATCCAAGCAGTACTCACAATAATAATAACAAAAAATTGTTTCATTAAAAACTAATACGAACGAAGATATACAACAAATATATAACCAAAATAAAAAATTTAAAAAACCAAAAAATTGATAAACAAAAAACTTAAAAAACCAAAAAATTAATTAACAAAAACAAAAAATATGCATATAACAATATAAGGCCTCAGAATGGAAAAAGAACATTAATGCTAATGTGTAAACATAATTAATGAAGTGATAAAGTAATAAACATCTCCTCAGAGTCGCGTCTATTATTACAGGCTTTTCGATGAGGATCAGCACTTATAACTAGTTTATCCCATTAGACAAACGTGATTGCCACTTGCGCTTTACCCCGCGACTTACGCGTTATCCATACTGCAGTAAAAAACTCTAAAACTGGCTTTAGTTTTAAGGCTAATTGGAAGTGAAGCTTTCTGAACACTGTGATATCTCTCTATGGCTTATAGAGAGAACCAGCATCAGACTTTATCAGCTTTTGATAAAACCTAGGATGCTGAGTTTTACCATGTTTTTTACATATTTTTTATTTATTTAGTGTTTTACATATTTTTTATTTATTTAGTGTTTTACATATTTTTTATTTATTTAGTGTTTTACATATTTTTTATTTATTTAGTGTTTTACATATTTTTTATTTATTTAGTGTTTTACATATTTTTTATTTATTTAGTGTTTTACATATTTTTTATTTATTTAGTGTTTTACATACTTTTCATATCTGGAAAAATTTATAAAATAAATGAACCAATTTTTTTATAATTGCAGTGTTGAAATAGTCCTTGATGGAAAAAACTGCCCTTCATTTTCAGTAACTTTTGCTAAGGTTCTATCCTTAGTTCTATTTTGTTTTTTTAATAATCTTCTGGACTATCTTACTTCTAAATCAACTCTAATTGCTAATGATACAGTTATACAATCCATTCTTATAAAAAGTTATCACTTGATTTCTTTGAACAGGCAGCCTTGAATGTGATTACTTTTCTGATTAACAAAAAATACTTTTTAATAATTTTAACAAAAAGGATTGAATAAAAATTCAATTAAATAATTAAACAATATATCTATTAGGGCATAACTGATTGGCATTTTTCTGCCAACCCCGAATTCCGGAATTTTTGATTTGGTATTTGCTGATTTCAGATATGATTCGGATATTTAAGTTACATTATTACATTTGTAATTTTTAATAAAATATTAATCGCAGATGTTGTCTTGTCTTTGTTTATAGGTCGCTAGAAGTCTAGAAATTCGAATGATGAAAAATTGTCAAGAAGCCAAGAGTGAAGCAATCACTGTCTCCAATCTGTATTACTGGAAATGTCATATCATTAATCGACGGTTATTAAATTAAAGTTGTTGTTTAACATTGCTGTTTGTTGAATGTTGATTCCACGTGGTTATTGAAACTTGAACAGTAGTTCAATGTTAAAATTGAATATGTTGGCTTTATATTTATACTGTATTAAACTATTAAACAGTTGAGCTATTAACAACAAAGTTTTATAAAAGATATTTTTTTTGAATTATTTAATTACACAATTATTTGTATAATATATATTATTAATGATATTATAAATTTATAAAATCATTATTTATTTATTATATTATTGGAAATATGAATAACAGAAACAGTTAATTGTCTAATGACAAATATGTTCGACATTCTTAATAATTAACAATTAATAACTAACAAACTACCTTCAGTGTCAGTTGAAAGTTTGAAACTCAAAATCAAAAAGCCTTTAAACGTTAGTAGGATTCAAACCTTTAACAAATTAACACCTTAAAGTGCCGACAAAAGTTGTGTTCATATTAAAAATAATGATAAAAGAAAATATTTGGGCGGATTTTTTTAAAGTAAAACAAAATAATAAATGTATACCAAGTAAAACAAACTTTGTTGTTTTACTCAAAGCCTGCCGTCTCCATGTTAACAAATCTCTTAAAGTCTTTAAAATATATGCCACAATCTACAGACTTAATAATTTAGCCAAGCGTGTTTAATTCCAAAGATATTTTGTAAATGATGTCATTGTAGGATTTGTTTTACTTGTTTTTTAAAATAAATGTTTATAATCAATCGTATGACTTTTCCATAAATTTTATAGGAAGCTAAACAAAAGAATGTTTTTTTATAGAGCGCGAGAACCAAATAAAATTAAGATTTTTATATTAAAATATAATAAATATAATAAATATTCTCTTAAATATAATAAATATTCAAAAAAGATGTTGATAACCTTATTATATATTCTGAATCTTTATTCTTTTTATGTAAATAATGTTAACTTTTTTTCTAGTTTATCTAAGCCATTTATCACTATGACCTTTTTATTATCCTATCGAAATGACTTTTTACAAATTCTTAAACTTTTATTAATAAAGAATTTTAGTAAAGGACATCATTTATTGGAGATATTTGCTGAATTCACAAATTTTTATTATTATTATTATTATTATTATTATTATTGTACCGCAACAAGCTATAGCTTTAGGGCTGTTCAGTATGCTAATTTGTTTTTAGAACATATCATATTGTGGTTCAAAAATATTTTTTACTAAATTTTATTATTTCCCCTAAAGGTCTCTCAAAGCCCCCAAACACTTGATAGGTCCATAATATTATTTAAAAAAATTATTTAAAAATATGTCAACTTGGTACTCAAAAGAAGCAAAATTTTATAAAAAATTTAAAAAATTAGATTCATTTTTTATAAAAAACAACTTTAAAAAACTTATAATTAAAAATGTTGTGAATATTATCTTTTTTCTATTTTTCGTTTTAAGACTAGTTTTTATTCAAAAAAACCTAAAATTGTTATTTTTATAAAAAATATTTTTTGTTTTTAAAATTTTTAATTAATTTTGCTTCTTTTGAGTGTTAGGTTGACATATTTTTTAATAATTTTTTTTTTTTAATAATATTAGAGACCTGTCAAATGTTTGGAGGCTTTGAGGGACCTTCAGGGCAAATAATAAAACTTTGTAAAAAATATTTTTGAACCAAAATATGATAGTCGAATGGGAAAAATTTCAATTAGCTATGTTTTCAAAACAAATTAGCATACAGAACAGCCCTACTATAGCTTGTATAACCAATTCTGGTTTTGGCAGCCTACATAAAAATTTACAAATTATTTTAAAATAAGTTAGTTAAATGGGAATAAAGCCAATTTCATCGTTAACCATCTTCAAAGTTTTCCGATTTGAAAAACTTATCCAATCTTGCTTTGAAACTATTTAATTTAGAAATTGTGTTGATCTGGTTGTTTCTCATTTTCTCAGCTTCAATACAAATTTTCGTGGGCAGTGATGCTTTCACATTATCCTGTTTATCTGAATTAAAAACCAAAAGTTTGTATGTTAGATTGAGAACTGTTGCAAGTGCACAATTCGTATTTCTTCCTGCCTTAGCATAATGTGCACATAGATCATCCATTATGTCTGAATGCATTGTGCTTATTCCAACATCATCACCAACTTTTACAGGTTTCATCAGTTGCAAGCAAAACACAGGCGCTAGGGATGATCATCCCAACACTTGCAGACGCCAAACTGCCATTTTTAGTTTCTTGTTCAAAAGGTTTTAACATTAATAAAATCCTCTCCATCAAATTCCATTCATTTGGAGATAAGTTTTTGACTTCATCATTGTCTTAAGAGTAGCGGTCGTCTGATTTAAACAAAGATTAAATTAAAATTAAAATTAAAAAGATTAAAATTAAACACAATCATTAAAAGATATTGTAAATCGATCACTATAAGACTGGTTTTACTTCATTAAAAATTTTTTTTTGCAAAAGATCCCTTTTCTATAGACTTTAAATAATTTGTTGTCTATAAATTTAAATGTGCAGGCTGTAAATCTGATTATATTGCCAAAACTACTCACCATTTAAACACACAAATTTTAAAAACAGTTTTAAACATATTCATTCAAATGAAAGTTGTTTTAATAGTTTTAATCATGCTAGTTTTTCAAATTTGGATTCGGCCTCCAACAAATTATATTAAAACTCAAAGAAAGAATGTACTTAGAGTGGGAAAAACCCACTGTTAATAAGCAAATGAACCATGTAAAAATGACACTTTCAATCTAGTTCCTTTTAACATAACAGGTTCTTTTATTGTTTTTAAAACATTTATTAAATTTTTTAATTGCATTTTTATTGTATTTTATATTATAAGATCTCCATAAGTTCAACTTGATTTGACTAATTTATTTAAGCATTTTAACATATATTTTAACTGATGATGGCTATGATATAATCAAACCATGTATTTTATAAATTAAATGATTTTAACAAAATTTAAATAAAAATAAAAAATTAAATTATTAAATTAAATTAAATAAATAATAAAAATAAAAAAATTGTCTTATTAAAAGATATATCAACCCTCGGAATTAGGGTTGGCACTCAACAATGCTGACCAAACTGCGGTTTGAGGTGGGCAATTTTTTGCTGACCTCGTTTATATGTTGTATGGTAAAACTTTTCTATTGAATAATTTTTGTCGACCTGATACCGACCTATAAAAGACTAAGGATGCAGATATGCCAATATAATAAATTAGACTTTGACACGCATTTCACCCTTCACTCTTCACTCTATTGGTTTTCTCTTTGTTCTATATCGCTCTCCTTCATCTCAAGGTTGTACACTTTTCCATGTTATTTCTGATCAAATTGATCAAGGCCTTTTTCTTTATCCTTCAGCCAATATCGTTGTTGTTAGTGACTATAATGCTCATCACACTGAATGACTTGGCTTTAGTGTCACTGACTCTGCAGGCGTTAAGGCCCACAACTACTGCCTTTCTCAATCTCTAACACAAATAATCAACTTTCTGACTCGCTTTCCAGACAATCTGAATTATTTACCTTTTCTACTCAACTTATGCCTTGTTTCTAATCCTAGTCAGTGCTCAGTTTCTCCAAATTCACTGTTAGGTGTCTCTGATCACGATTTGATCTCTCTGAAACATTTATCTCATTCTTCTTCATCATTGGAATCCCCTTTCATTGTACTTCTTACAATTACCTTAAAGTTGACTGGGACCCTTTTCATGATTTTCTTCCTAATTTTATCTTGGAAAAAATCTTTCGTCTTCCTGCTTACAAATGTGCTTCTTATATAACTTCTTGGACTCAGGCAGTCATGCAGAAGTGTTCTCTGGAGCCGTCGTCTATACTTTCAAAACTATTTAAAAAGTGCTTATCAGAGTCTTGTTTTACACCCAGCTGGAAAGCGGCATCTATTATCCCTATTTTCTAAAATTCTGGAGAGCAATCTGATTCATCTAACTACCGTCCCATTAGTCCTCTTTCTATCATAAGCAAGTTTTTTGAGCCTTTAATTAACAAACACTTAATCTCCCATCTTGAATCTAATAACTTACTTTCTGATCATCAATATGGATTTTGATCATCTTGTTTTATGGCCGATTGGCTTACAGTAATAACCAATAGGTTTTATCATGCATTAGATAGATATGGAGAGGCTAAGGCTATCGCTCTTGACATTTCTAATGCGTTTGATAAAGTTTGGCATGCTGGTCTTCTCCATAAGCTTTCTTTTTACTGTATATCTGGAAACATCTTTAAGATTATTGAATTCTTCCTTTCCAATTATAGTATAAAAGTTGTTCTTGATGGACTTTTCTTCATATACTGTAACTTCAGGGATTCCTCAAGGTTCTATCCTTAGCTATATACTCTTTTAAATTTACATTAACGATCTCCCGGAAATTCTCACATCTAAGGTGGTATTGTTTGCTGATGGTACTACCATTTATACTTGTCTTGATAAGAAGCCAATACCCTCTGATTGCTTTGATGTAGCATTTAAACTTGAACATGCTCTCACCTTTACTACAGCATGAAGCTTTCAATGGTTGGTAAACTTAAACTCAGATAAAACTCAATTTTTTTTCAGCAATTTGTTATCACAATAATCTAGATCTTCCTATATTTATGAATGATAATGTACTTGATGAGTCATCTACCTTTCATTTTCTAGGATCAACTCTTACTTTTGATTTTTTTTGGAAACTATTTATCAAATTGATTGCAAAATTAGCATCTGATAAGGTTGCATCTCTTAATTATGCTCGCCACTTTTATACTCAGGATTCAATTTTAAAAACTAGATAAATTTTTGGAGCCTAAGTGCTCCATAAATTCTTATTTATCTAGTTTTTATCCTCAAACATCAGTTCTTTGGAATTTGCTACTTTCATCTTGTTTTCCTGATTCATATAATTTGCTATCTGTTTAAGTCGTCTGTTAATCATTATCTTGCTCTATAAACTTTATCTTTTCTCCAGTAACTTTCAAATCCAAAGTTAAATTAAAAAGAAATTAAAAAAATTAAAATTTTCTCTTATGGAATAATTGTATTTTAGCATACAATACTGAAACACAAAAATAAAAAAAACTGAAGTTCTCAAAACAATCAGCATCGGCCAATGGTTACCAAGTCAGATGCTTATGCCAATGCATTGGCTGAATGGTCAATACATTGGCAAGCCGATGCATTGGTGCACCCCTAATAACTATTACTATTTACTGTCATACAAATCTGGTGACATAATAAGTGTTATATCTGATGATAAAAAGTGATATATCTAGTGATATAACAAGTAATTTAGTGACATGAAATATGATATTGTGACATAAAAAGTAACCTGGTGATATAAAATGTGATCTGGTGATATAAAAAAAAAAAAAAAAAAAGAACGAAAGATTAGGTTTTGAAACAACCAAACCTAAGCTTACAACAAAAAGAAGAAGAAAAAGAAAAATGAAAATCAATAAAAAAAATTTAAAACTAAAATTTTAATGAAAATCACCTTTGGTATAGATTTATCGCTTCTCATGCCACTTTTTTCAGTATAAATCTTATCCACTAAAGTTGTTAAGGCATCACCTGTTGAAGTGATTGATCTCTGGTACTTTACTTTACTGATAGCTTCCTTCATAGCTGGTTTATTTTGCTTTTCATTAAGCCGAAATTCAACATAAACCTAAAATATATTTATTGGTTTAAGTGTATTGTTTTTAGTTTTATTATTTTTTTTTTCATCTTTCTCATCTTTCATTCATCTTTCTCATTTATGTTGTAATGGAAAATTATAAATATTCAATGTTACATTATTAAATGTATAATAATAGAATATATTTAGTAAAATAAAACAAAAAATTTTAACTTTATAAACTACATTATAATAAAAATTATAATGTACACTATATTATAACAAAACTTTTTATATTTATGAAAGTCACATAAATAAACTTTTTTAATTTACAGCTTAATGTATAGAATAATTTAAAATAATTAAGCTGTAAATTAAAAAAGTATATGTATATATATATATGTATATATATATATATATATATATATATATATATATATATATATATATATATATATATATATATGTATATATATATATATATATATATATATATATATATATATATATATATAATTACATATATATATACATACATATATATATATATTTATATATATATAATATATACATATATATATATATATATATATATATATATATATATATATATATATATATATATATATATATACAAGGCCTGCGCGATAGGGGTGTGTGGGGGGGTGTGACCCCCCCCCCCATCAATGATTTTTAGTCGGCAAACTGGACCCTTAGTCGGTAAATCGGACCTTTTTAGACTAGTTAGTCGGCAAATGTCGACCCTTTCGATATAGGTTAGACATTCGGCAAATGTCGTAATGACAGTCGGCAAATTTTGGAAAACGAGGACCTTTTTTTTTTTTTTTTAGTCGGCAAAAGTTGTAATGGCACCCCCCACGTGACACCTACTCGCGCCAGCCCTGTATATATATATATATTTATATATATATATATATATATATTTATATATATATATATATATAAATATATATATATATATATAAATATATATATATATATATATATATATATATATATATATATATATATACATATATATATATATATATATATATATATATATATATATATATATATATATATATATATATATATATATATATATAGGCCCTTGAAATTATTGACTATTAGAGTAAATAGTGTGCAATGTATTAATTTTCATGAAAGGTTTATGAAGTTGCTATTCAACTTATCTTGGTGAGTAATTTAGTCAAAATCATAAGTGTGTAATAACTAATGCTCAGTTACAGAACTTTTCCACATATTTACAATGTTACTTGCTTTTTGAATAATATAAATGCCTACGTATCATCTTCAGTCCAATTGTCTGCAAAACCACATCATCATATTCATTCAGCCTTTGCATAAGCAAAATGTCATTGATTGGCGCATCAATAGCAATTCTGCTGGTGAACCATGATTGGAGATATACACAGACAACAAATCTATTAAATCGCTTGATGCCCTAGAGTTCTTGTGCCGTTAGCTTGAGAACATCTTTATTACTGTCAAACAGAAGTTCCATCTAAAAAGAGTCGATAGTCTTTGCCATCCAGCGTGCTCAGTATTGTGGTGTTGGTCTGCATACCAAGCATTGCACCAGCAAGGCAAAGAAGCTCTAGACAGTTAAATCTTTCAAGATTTAACTGTCTTTCAATAAAAGTTTTTAGGTCATCATGATCAAAAATAAAATGAGCTTGGTAATCTATTGGAATGTGATGAATTGCAGACCACTTATCACAAAATATCTTGAAGATGAGTATATCAGACCCAGTTGAAGGTCGAAAACGCACGCCAAATGCATCTTAAAGTAGGACTTCAAGCATGTGGTGTCTGCGTACCAACCATAGCAGATTATGTCTAACAGCAACATCCAACAGTGTGCAAGCTCCTTTGTGTTTGCCTGCATTTGATACAGCCGTGTCAAAGCACACACCAATAATAGGATTTTCACATTTCCATGACACCAACAATTCATAAACTGCTTCTGCTGCAGTCTGACCAGAGCCAGAGGTCAATTTTGGCACTCTTAGGAGCTTGATACTGCCATCAACAAGGGACGAGATCAAAATAGGCAAGCGGTCCACCTGATTAGTGTCATTACCAGTTAAATCAGACATCAAGTTGTGAGGCTGCTCAACAAATTAAGTCATTCTTAATTTGTTGAGCAGCCTCATAACGTAAATGGTGACGCTTCTGATGAACTGTGCTCTTTGACAGAACTGCAGATGATGTTGAACATCCTGCTTCATTCACCATGGAAGCTAGAATCATGGCTGATGTTCGAATGCTGAGGTTCGTCCTATTAAGAACTGCAGCCACCTTTGGTGAAAGAACATCTTGAAAATTTCTTTTCTTAGCAGTACAGCTTCTGCTTGGCATGGTAACTACAAAACCCTCATTGTTATCTTCCGACAAGCTGTTTCCACTGTCTATCTTGCTGCACAATCCATCTCCTTACTTGATGTGGTTGCTGCTGCCTCTGATGCAACTTTTTTGGAAAACTGGTCCTGACGTTTTACAAAGCGCTTCTTTTAAACCAAGAGTTTTCTGTCAACTGGTCCAATACAACAAGTTCTAGACTCTTGTTGCAATTTTAAAAACAATCTTTCTCATTACTGATTAGCTGAGCTGCATTCGCATGACTAATATCAAACAGGTTACCAAGTTTTTAAGTGTTTTGTTTTTGATTCTGTTTATCCTTCTCATTACTCCTAGCCCGGGAGATCATCAAACGTTGTTGCTCACTATACAGATCTTAGATTATCTGACTGTGTTGCTTCTGACGAATGGGTAGCTGCAACTTTGTCCAGAATGGCATTATTTGGTCATGCACTGTCGGCACCAGGCAACTTCTTTACAAAGTGAAAAAAAAAATTCTTCATAACACGTCCAGCTGGAAGATGTGCCCCTGTGATTGTCTCAGAAGGATGCTCTATCAACCAAATACTGTCTTTGTTTCATGTCACTCTACTCTTTTGCATCTTTACTGATCTTACTGTAAAAAAAATAAAAATAATTAAAGTTATATTAAAAAAATTTTTACATACTATAATTAAGATTAGTATATTATTGATGTGGCTCTGAGAATGAACCATAGTAATAAAAAAATTGTTCATTTGATGGTTTATTCTTAAAACAGGTTATGCTAGAAATCTCAACAAAAACTTAACTAAACTCAATACAATTTTTAAGAATATTTTTTGAACCAATAGAATTAGTTTGTTCGTAGATTTGGCTGGTTTTTAGTGTTGCAAATACATGTTGTTTTTTTTAATAAGCATAACGTTTATAAGCATATGGAGGCTCAGATTTGGATAAAAAATAAGTATATGTAAGCATATTCCTGAGCCTCGATAAACCATTTAAAAAATTCAAATTTCATTTACTTTATTATTTCAATTATTTCAAATTTTATTTATTTCAATATTTTATGGATAACATTTGTATATAGTATATATTTTTTATTTTTTATTATAGTGTACTAAAGTCGACTTTTTATTTTTCTTATAACCATTAGTAACGCACACATTTTTAGAAAGTATTGAAATAAGCATATTTTATTATAAATATGCTTCAGTTTAAGCATATTTTCGAGCCTCTTTTAACTTTTTGCTGAAGCATATCCGAGCCTGTTTCAAAAATTTCATATGCTTATAAAAAAAAAAACATGTATTCTTATTCTTCGGCACCAAGATGTTTGATTGTCAATGTCAATGTTAGATTGGGTCTTTAATTGATGTTCATTAACAATTTATGAAAATTTTAACCAGAAAGTAGGGGGGAAATCAGTTAGGTGTTTTTGCTATTCATGCTGTGCCCAATTTTGTTGGTTATGAGGTTTTTCTAACAATATTAGTGAAATGTTTGAATTTAGAGGGCATTGTTTTGCGTTTCTCATCGACAATATTCTAAATCAGGAAAGTAGGCTACAATCAGTCAGATCAGGTTTATCTTGCTACTGGTAACATGTAACCCAGTACAATCTGCTTTATTTCTTTCTGCCTTGTAGGATATGCCTTTTTACGCAATGGTTAGGAGATGCAAACTCCGACATAAAACACCCCCTGCCTTGGGGCTCTTGGTCAAGTAAAGGCTAGAAATGGTGTCTCGATAAAAATACTCATCTTGGGCAGATGTTAAATGCATCCGGCTGCTGTCTTGTAGAAGGCCTCTTAGGCAAAGACTTAAGGGATAAACAGATTCTATCGGTTGACCAGCCTCGCACCCCTTCTCCATCTATTAGGCTGGCGCAGATGTATTTTTAATACATTGTTTCCAGTTTAGGATGTTGAACGCTGGATCTTCTTGACTCAATGCATGGGTTTTGCTTGTATCTCTGTTTTTATGACTAGGCAACTTATTCTATTATCTTCAAATAAGGGTACAGCTCTAAAACTCAGTTTTATGGTTCTGAAGCCGGCTGGTAGTCAGGTTTCCCGAACTCTGTGGTAGCTCTCAGAGAGGCTGATTCCATCAACAGCTGAAAAATATCAGAGTACTTACATTGTCATGTTGCGCATGGATAGTGTCCCTGTTTTTACTTTTGGTGTGCGTTGCCATGGCCACATTGGAGCCCTTTGTTACGGCTTAGGGTTTATTAGTAGAAATGAGGCAATTGCTTGGGCTATAAAACAATGTACTGAGTACTATCTATGTTTCGAGTCAAGTTCTTTAACAAATTTAAAAATGAATAAAGTAACAAAAACTATAAAACACAAAAAACCACAGTCATCACCAAGTTCGCTAAACCTATCATTCACCAATATTTGTGGTCTTCGAAGTAACTTTTCTTCTGTTGAGTCTTATCTCTTGCAAAGTTCACCAGACCAACTTGCTCTTTGTGAGACTGATTTGAATTCAGCTGTCTCATCTTGTGATCTTAATGTTGATGGTTATCTTCCTTTAATTCGTAAAGACTCCAATAGTCACATGCTTGGCCTAGGCATTTACATTCGTAAGAATTTACCCATTTGTCGGGAAACCAGGTTTGAATCCACAGACTGCTTTTTTATGTGCTTTCGTTTAGCACCACTTCACTCTATTAC